TTTAACACATCACCTCAAACCCAACCCATATTTCATAAAAAGTCAAAAAGTGCACTTATTTAGTCTTTCCAAACTAGGCCTACGAGTTGTAGGGATTTAATTTGATTAACGTAAATTGATTCAAGATACTTTATATATATATAAAAATATATGTCAGACTTTAATTCATGTGAAAAAGGATGCTTAATTAATTAATTTAAATGTGAATAAAAGAATCAACTTACTTCAACTTATAACTTCTAACGGATGTAATGCTTAATTTATTTTTGTTTTTTTACTGAAGAGTTAATTCCTGTACTTATATGTGAGTATACTCTCTCCCTTAACTTTTATATTTGAAAGGGACTTTCATAGTAAAACAAATCACCTAAATGATATGCTACTGTCATTTTTTTAAAAAAGGAAGCAGTTAGCCTCCAGTGTTTAATCAGACTAGATGGTATTGTTCGGTTTGTGGGAGCTTATCACAAGTCTTGTTTTGATATTTCGAACCGTCAATATGTAGAACTCGTCGAGTATTATACGCTTGTAAAAAATCATGTTGATCGGATATCGATAACTATGTAATCTAATCAGCTTTGTACAAAAAAATAGACGGTGAACAAATTAACGGTTGATAAAAAATTGATAAGATGAGATAGGTATTGATATCCGACCAATGTGAGTTTTTACAAGCATATAGTACTTGATGAATTTTATACATTGAACGGTTTGGATTATCAAAACGGGACATGTGATGGGCCCCACGGGCCAAACAACACCATCCAGTCCGATTAAGGACCAAAGGCAAATGGTGCATATATATGTTAATATATTAATTGGTATACTAATTGATGCATATAAACGTATTGAAAAAATAATAACAAAAAATAAAAAATAAGGTCCACCTAAGAGCATTTATTTGGTCATTAATTTTTGTCTTACTATTTCAAAATACATAAGAGTCATGAAAATCTCATGAAAATATTAAGTTATGATAAGCATTTAAAGAAAAACAAAAAAGGGTTGAGGTTGTCTGTCTATTTTTGTGCACTTGTTTTGGTTGAGCCTAAATCACACCTAGACCTTTTTGATATGGATTTTGCACCTCTTTATCAAATTTAACCCCACATCATTATTATGCAGCCAAGATATTAAGAAACATTAATTAAAAAATTTTAAATACATTATTCCCACTTCCTAATGGTACTCAATATTAGTCAAGCATGCTCAAGTAATGGGTTCAACAATTAATACGATTCTCAATCACCATAGATGAGTGTAATCATGAGTCTCATGCAGGACTAAGATCATTAAGAAAAGGAGCAGCATCAATTTCAGGCAATATATGCTCCTTACTCTTTATGGTAAATCCTTGGTCATTATGCCGAACCAAATTTTCTATAGTTTAAGAGCATCTCCAACGGTAGTAGGCATTTTACCTATCCAAATATTACTATAAAGTATAAATTTTATTTTGCCTATCAACTGTTTTATGTTTTTACTCCAACCATGCTCTTTATTTTAGCTATTTATCCAAATACTATTAATTTTATAGAATGCCACGTCAACAACAAAGATGGAGGGAAATAATCCTAATGATCGAATACATTTTGCCTAGCGTTGAAAGCTAGCTACATGTAGCTAGTGAATATGAGAGCATCTCCAACGGTAGTAGGCATTTTACCTATCTAAATATTACTATAAAGTATATATTTTATTTTGCCTATCACCTGTTTTATATTTTTACTCCAACCATGCTCTTTATTTTAGCTATTAATCCAAATACTATTAATTTTATAGAATGCCACGTCAACAACAAAGATGGAGGGAAATGATCCTAATGATTGAATACATTTTGCCTAGCGTTGAAGGCTAGCTACATGTAGCTAGTGAATATGAGTTGAGCCAAAATGCCTAATCATATGCCTAGTGCGTTGGAATTGAAAAAAGTGAATCACACTAGGCATTTTAACTAACAAGTATTATATGCCTAGTGCATTGGAGATGCTCTAATGCCTAATCATATGCCTAGTGCATTGGAATTGAAAAAAGTGAATCACACTAGGCATTTTAACTAACAAGTATTATATGCCTAGTGCATTGGAGAGAATTTGAGTTGAGTTTCATAAGTTAAAATTTAAATTTGAGAGAATTTGAGAGACTTGTGGAGCAACTAAGAGTATTGTTTCGATGGTCTAAATCATTCATTTTGTGGAGCTCGCAGTGTATATTATTATTTATATAAAAAAATTAAGTCAATTCGATAATCGAAGATTTTCATTTTCATTTTGTTTTTTTAAAAAAAAAAAGACAATAAACATATTTTTAAAAATAGATCATGTACGAGCACGAAATAATTCTTCTCCTATGATCTTGTTGATCAAGTTTGTAATCCTCCAAACAATGTTGCTTTGCCACCTGAAAACACAAACGTGAGCTAACAGGTGGGTGTGTGCCGGAACCCCTCCGACGCCTAAGTTAGCAACTAGACAATAGACAATAAGCTCTGTGTATTCTAGAGTAAGAATTGAGGTACCTGTCCATAGGTCTGGTCATGAGCTTTTATAGACTTTGCTTGGCACATTCTTAGTAGGATTCTAACTCTCCCTACGAAAGTCCTCCTAAGAATCACACACCCTACTCACTACCAACCAAGTGAGATGATTTTGCACAATCCTAGTAGGACTCTAACTCTCCTTAGCAGAGTCCTCATAGGAGTCACACTCCTACTCACTACCAACCAAGTGAGATGGTTTACACAATTTCAGTAGGACTCTAACTCTCCTTAGTAGAGTCCTATTAGGAGTCTCATCACCGCAAGCCAAGTGAGATGGCTGAACCCTTTACCTCGTTATACATTTCTAACCGAACTACCTTATCTCGGTCCCCTGCTATTCGGACTGTGTGATAGAAAGCTAATCTATCGAATGCCACCCTGCCGAGCTATACACAGCTCGACCTTCGCCATTGATATTACCTTCTTTACCTCGGCTGACATCTTTACCTCGGCTGACATTGCAGTCAACCAATTTATTTCGGCTCGGTGATACTTTAAGCACCACTATCAGTCTTGACTCTGAGATGACGCCTTGCAGAGCTATCCTTTAGCTCGGTTCTCCCCCCACTGATACTTCGGTTTTATCTGTTTAGACCGAGCTAACTGCAGCAGTCTCTGACCGAACTAACAAGGACGAGGTCCAACTTGCGAAGCCCAAACACCTCGGCCCATAGTTTGGCCCAAATCTGTAATATGAAATGTCTTCTTGGCCTAAGACCGAGTTACACCAGCCCTTATCTCGGCCCATTGTACGTCCCAACTTCCAAAGAAGACTTTCCTAGCTCGGCCCAATTTGCTTACAAATTACTCTCTCAATTGCCCCTTAATTCCATCTGCGCAGCATGATTAGGATTACTCTTCTCTAGCCGAGCAAAAAACGCTCAACTTTGTCGAACTAGAGATGTTTGCTCGATCTCACAACTCGTTCAGTCCCAAAAAGTCTGGTCAGTTGCTCAACATATTCTTCTACTAATCTAGTACGACGTCATTCCCCGGATATATGGCATGCCCCCAATATCCTCGTTCTTCTGTTACCACCGTCATGCCAAAAATTTGAATAGCCCTGTTTTTTTGCCTTCAACGTATATATCCTTCGAGTTTGCAATCGTATGGCCAGTCGTTCTTTCTGTGTCTCACTGAGTAGACTAACTTGGTTTATACTAACCTTGCCAACCTGCTTTGGCCGAGATAACCATCTCGGTCCAGGAATTCAAAAATTTGTTGGTCATACTTGCCAACCTGCTTTGGCCGAGGTAACCATCATCCCAGCCAAAGAGTTCTAAAAAATTTTGTTGGTCATACCTGCCAACCTACTTTAGCCGAAGTAACCATCATCCCGGCCAAAGGGTTTAAAAATTTATTGGTTATACCTACCAACCTGCTTTGGCCAAGGTAACCATCATCCCGGTCAAAGAGTTCAAAAATTTTGTTTGTCATACCTGCCAACTTCCTGCAGCCTAGATCCTCATCTCGGCTTAGGAGAGCTAAATGTTGGTTATTATTGCCAACCTTCTTCAGCGCGGATCCTTATCTCGGCTTGAAGAAGAGCTAAATGCTTGGCCATTCTTGCCAAACTTCTTGATTGCCCCCCAGTCAGGCAAAGACTTGTTGGTCAAACCTGCCAACTTCTTGCAGCCTAGATCCTTATCTCGGCTTAGGAGAAGTGTTGGTTTTTCCAGCCAACTTCTTCAGCCCAGATCCTAATCCTGGCTGAAGAGAGCTCAAAGTTGGTTATTCCGGCCAACTCTGAGCGAAGTGTTTGGTTTTTCCAGCCAAACGTCCTGCAGCCTGGATCCTTATCCTGGGCTTAGGAGGGGTGTTAGTTTTTCCAGCCAACCTCTAAGTTGGTTATTCCTGCTAACCTAGAGTAAAGTGTTTGGTTATTCCGACCAAACGTCCTGCAACCTGGATCCTTATCTTGGGCTTAGGAGGGGTGTTGGTTTTTCCAACCAACCTCTAAGTTGGTTATTCCTGCTAACCTAGAGTAAAGTGTTTGGTTTTTCTAGCCAAACATCCTGCAGCCTGGATCCTTATCCTGGGCTTAGGAGGGGTGTTGGTTTTTTCAGCCAACCTCTAAGTTGGTTATTCTTGCCAATCTAGAGTAAAGTGTTTGGTTATTCCGACCAAACGTCCTGCAGCCTGGATCCTTATCCTAGGCTTAGGAGAGGTGTTGGTTTATTCCAGCCAACTTCTTCTGTTGCCCCCCAGTCAGGCAAAGACTTTTCAGAAAGAGTTGGTCAAACCTGCCAACCCACTTTGCCCCTAGTTGGGCAAAGATTTTTGCGCGGTCGGTCCTATTTGTCAACCGTGTTTTCTTTTTCCGAAAGTGTTTTGTCCGACATCGCTGTTGTGCCAGACTCTGCCTTGGTGCGCGCCCCATCTTCCTCTACCCTGATGTGTTGGTGCACTTTCTCTATCAGGGCTTCCATAGTAAGGGGCAACGTCATTGTCATTGAATCCCTCAACTCAGTTCACGATATTCTGCTTTAGTCAATTTTACACCATCAAATAGATATTGCTCGTCTTCTATATAATCTCTAAGCTCCTTTAGTTTCTTCAAATACTCTTGCCTTGAAACTTTCCTTATAGCTCCAATGCCATCTTCCTCCAAAGCATTAGATCTCTGAACAGCTTCTTCTTCCTCCTTCTGTGTTAATTTTGGCTCAGCTAGTTTCCTTGTTGCTGCTGCATCCCTCTCTTTGGTCACGCAATTGTTCTTCCTCCGACTTAGAACCATCATCATCATCCTGAGAAGTTCGTCTTTTAACTCGTCTTTCTTCTTCACTGCTCTTCTTTTTCTTCGAATATTCCTTCTCTGTCTTCGTCTTCTTCGACTTTCTCTGCTTCGAATCCTGCTTCTCTGTCTCCGACTCCTTTTTTCTTCTTTTTGCCTTTTATCTAGCTCTTCATAGACTCTAAGTCAGTCGCCATTCTTTTTATTACTTTGTCTTGCTCCCTTATGCGATCTTCGAGAACCTGAGGATCCATCTTCCGCCTCTGTCTATTAGGGCTTTGAGAGCGGTGTGGACTTGAGCCCTGTCTTTTTCTTGCTTCTCTCCGCGGATTCCTTCGCTGGGGATCTAATTCGGCCATGGGTGGGATAGAAGGTAAAGCTTCGCACCTCCCACCCCCTTTCGGTGTTTGCCCATCAATAGCAGATTGTGACAAGTCTTCATTGTGCGCTATTGCTTTCAACTAGAGAGGAAAACTTGATCAAGAGGCTTTGCTTTTAGTGAAATTCCCATAGACGGCGCCAATTATACGAGCACGAAATAATTCTTCTCGTATGATCTTTTTGATTAAGTTTGCAATCCTCCAAACAATGTTGCTTTGCCACCTGAAAACACAAACGTAAGCTAACCGGCGGGTGTGTGCCGAAAACCTTTCCGACGCCTAAGTCAGCAACTAGACAATAGACAATAAGCTCTGTGTATTCTGGAGTAAGAATTGAGATACCTGTCCATAGGTCTGGTCATGAGCTTTTATAGGCTTTGCTTGGCACATTCTTAGTAGGATTTCAACTCTCCCTCCCTATGAGAGTCCTCCTAGGAATCACACACCCTACTCACTACCAACCAAGTGAGATGGTTTTGCACAATCCTAGTAGGACTCTAACTCTCCTTAGCAGAGTCCTACTAGGAGTCACACTCCTACTTACTACCAACCAAGTGAGATGGTTTACACAATTCTAGTAGGACTTTAACTCTCCTCAGCAGAGTCCTACCAGGAGTCTCATCACTGCAAGCCAAGTGAGATGGTTGAACCCTTTACCTCGGTTATACATTTCTGACCGAACTGCCTTGTCTCGGTCCCCTGCCATTCGGACCATATGATCGAAAGCTAATCTATCGAATGCCACCCTGCCGAGCTATACACAGTTTGACCCTCGCTATTGATGTTACCTCATTTACCTTGGTTGACATCTTTACCTCGGCTGACATTGCAGTCAACCAGTTTATTTCAGCTCAATGATACTTTAAACACCACTATCAGTTTTGACTTTGAGATGACGCCCTGTAGAGCTATCCTTTAGCTCGGTTCTCCCCCATTGATACCTCGGTTTTGTCTGTTTAGATCGAGGTAACTGCAGCAATCTCCGACCGAACTAACAAGGACGAGGTCCAACTTGCGAAGCCCAAACACCTCGGCCCATAGTTCGGCCCAAATTTGTAATATGAAATGTCTTCTTGGCCTAAGATTGAGCTACACCAGCCCTTATCTTGGCCCATTGCGCGACCCAACTTTCAAAGAAGACTTTCCTAGTTCGGCCTAATTTGCTTACAAATTACCCTCTCAAATCATCTATTTCTTTTATGCAAACACAATAGAATAAGAAGATTATGATTATCGAATCGATTTATTTATTCTTTATAGATGATATGCACGAAATATTTTATAAAATGAACAGTACAGATCATCGAAATGGACTTGTAGTGGGCCCCACGAGCTCCTCAAGAAACTCAACCCTTATTTTTTAATTTACATTAAATTAAAAAAGAAAGCTAGGAATAAATTGTCTAGGAATATTTCATCCCTCTAGTATTTTCATACAATTCATACAATTAATTTGCCATATAGTAAAAATAATTGAAAGAGTAATTTTATACGAGCTAAATTTTTTTATAATATTTTTATATGGCATGTATCAAATTTTACAATTAATTTGAAAAATAGTAAAAATAATTGAAAGAGTAATTTTATACAAGCTAAAAATTTTATAATATTTTTATATGACATGTATCAAATTTTACAATTATTTGTAATATAGTAAAAATAATTGAAAGAGTAATTTTATACATGCTAAAAAATTTTATAATGTTTTTATATGACATGTATCAAATTTTGTAACTATCAGTAAAAGTCTACAACTCAACTTCAACGCTAATGGTTACAATAGTAGTTCCGTGAAAATCTGTAATTCGTCTTCCTGAGTAGGTTTGAGCAAAGAATTTGTGAAATTTGTAATTTGATTCATTTGAATCTAATTTGATAGATTTGTATTGATTTTTTGAACCAATAATTTGATTTCAAATTAAAAAAATTAAAAATCTGCATTCTACGGATTGATTACGGATTGAATCTGATGGTTTTGGATTGGAACCGATCCAAACCCTATACAAATAGCCTATATTTATATTATTTACCCTTCTGCATAGTATTTTCTCTTATTCTATATAAAACCTAAACCCAAACTTAAACCTGCGTAGTACTTTTTTTTTTATTGCTTTTGTTTGTTGGTTTTTAATTTTAATTTGTAATGGTTTAAATAGTTATGGTGGAACCAGTTTTCTTATAATTGTTTAAATTTTATAACAGTATGTCGTTATTATAGAAATACGTGTTGCTATTGTGAAATTAATATGATGCTATGTTTATATTTTTATAAAATTAAAATGTTATATATATATTTTTATTATTTAATTATGTGAATCCGTGATCCTAAATCGATCCAATCTAGATTTAAATGAATTGATTTCACAATTTAACGGATTAAATTAATTCTAATTTTTCAAAAACCATAAATAACAGAATAATTATGATATTACGTCAATCTAAACTATCCCCTATTCGTTAGTTATGTCTAATGAAGCCTCTTCTTGTAAATTTAAAATAAAGGTTGTTTGATGCAATTTATTAAAGTTATAGCTGTCTTATTATTTATAATGTAAGTATAACTTAAATATAAAAAAAAATCAAAAATAATTATTAAAAGTTTGAGAAAAAAATACATTAAAATTAGAGGAAATATATATATATATATATATAAATCCAATAGAAATTTAGGCAAAATCGTACTCAGCTAGTAAGCTTTAGATTAACAAACGAAAGAGAAATAATTGAGGCTTAAACCATCACTTTCTTTTATGAATTTCAAATTATTTTACTACCTTTCTAGTTTTTTGATATTTTTCCCTTAAAATTATATATTTTTTTAATTATTATATTTTAGAGAAATTTATTAGAAAGTCATATTTTAAGAATTTTGTACCATTTGGTCCCATATTTAAAATAGTTGATTGAAGAATTCTTATTAGATGTAGTGTGTGGCCAGTAAATCATTTTTTAAATGCGAATGAGTATTGGTTAGACACATATAACCCCCTAGTTAATTGGGAAAGTTTTTTTTTTAGAATGTGTGACAAGTATAGTGTGATACTCCAATGTGGCAAGCATTAATGTGATACTTCAACGATGGGACACTCTAAAAAAATTAAAAATTGTTTAATGTACCTTTTCCAATTATGACAACGTGATAAGTATGATGTGACATTACAAAATTTTTACTCATCCTTAGTGTACTTTTTCCAAATGTGACAATGTGGTAGGAATGATGTGACACTCTAAAAAAATAAAAACTCCTTAATATTTTTTTTTCAAATGTGACAACGTGACATGTATGTTGTGATACTCTAAAAAAATTAAAAACTCCTTAGTGTACTTTTCCTAAACGTAACATGTGACACTCTAACGTAACGGATTCAATTTGATTAAATTACTGCTTGTCTTCATGTCACACACCAAAAAACAATTAGTAAGGAATTCATGTCATACATTGCGCGTGTTAAAAACAATCAAACTTTAAAAAGCTACTAGTGCGCTTTTCGAACAACGTGACACACAAACACCCTACCACCTTCTCATGTGGTGGGTATGTTGTGACACACTAAAAAAAATTAAAAACTCCTTAATGTATTTTTCGTAAACGTGACATGTGATATTCCAACATAATGGACCCAATTTGATTGAATTACTATGTGTCTTCACGTCATGCGTAAAAAAATAATTAGTAAAGAATTCATGTCTCACACTAAACGTGTTAAAAACAACCAAATTTTAAAAAGTTATTAATGTGCTTTTTGAACAACGTGACGTACAAATACTCCACCATCTTCTCTATGCCATATGTCCCGCAACTGTATTAATAACGACAAAACAATCAATAAATAATTTAAACAACCACTCAATTAACATAAAAATATTTAAGACTTTATAAATTACAAGTGTACAAAACAAAATTTACTAGTCAATTTACCTAAATTTTATCTTATAAGGGAGACTTTATTTAATAGTCAATGAAAGGGAATAGTGCCTGCCGCGATGAGCGCGGTGATTAAGCGACTTTATAATTTGTTACTCATATTCTAACTTTCTTTACTTTACCTTTTTATTATTTTTTTCTTGGTGGTAAATTCAAATAATAAAATTATGTTGTGATAGAAAATTTCGCAATCTCTTGATAACAAATACATGAATCTCATCAATGTTGAACATAAATGAAACAACTAATACCCATTAAAGATGGCGACAAGTTAATAACATTTATTGATGATTACAACATGTCTTCTTTATTTATTTATTTTTTTCTAAAAAATCTTGAACATCATAATGATTTGTTTTTTTCCTTTCAAAATTCGGTTTTAATTAAGGATTGCATCTTCTAGTTCAGATTTTTATATGTAAAAAATATTTATCCACACAATTTTATTTTTGAATGTGTTCCTGACTAGTAAAAAAAATGATTAGAGAGAAATTCAAATAAAAAAAATTACGTGAATGTAACATTGCTGTTTATATATTATTGATTCATATAAAAATTAAATTTATTTAATAATCGTAAAAGCATAATTTTATTATATTTATTTTTAAATAAATAAATTTTATAAATATTTTTGTAATTATCAAATCAATCTTATTTATTTAATTTGTGGGATCTATTTACATACCTTCAAATCTAACTTCTAAATTGCTTTGAACATATTTTCTAAACTCATTTTTTTTATATATATTTTAAAGGGAACTTTAAATTGTAATTTCAAAATTGTTTGAAATAATTTTTTTTTTTAATAGAATCATGAATTTAGTAAATCGCATAGTGCCAGAGAAATGAATATGAATTTACTGTCTCCAATTTTTTATATATGCATAGGACCATATCCTCTAGAGGGTAAATGCAAATGCATGTCCTATGATGTAGATAAAAGCTTAAAAATTAATTTTTTAAGTTTTTTGTTTTTTACAAAATATATAAAAGAATAAAAAAATAATCACTTTGCTTGGTTCAAGTTTTCTAAAAACACTTTTCAAAAAATTTTACTTTCTTATTTTTTCGTATTTTTTTTAAATTTTTACTGAATTTTTTAAATATTTTAAGCAATTTTTTTTTAAATTTTATACACACCTAACATAAATACACTTAAAAAGTATAATTTTTGTAATTTTTTTTTTAAAAAATTCACTAAATACCAAAAATTAAAAAATATAAAAATTCAGTAGATTTTTCTAATTTTTGTGTATTTATTAATTTTTTAAAATATTTTTTACAAATATTTTATTTTTTAGATACATTTAAATAAGATGTATCTAAAAAAGTAAAAAAAAAAACCTAAAATTTAAAAAAATATTTACTAAAAATAAAAAAATTAATTTTTTAAAAATTCAAACCAAACACATTGAATATAACTTTAAAAAAAATTAAAAATATTTTAAAAAATAACTTTTAATTGCGTCGTCAAAATAAATCAAATATTGCTCCTCTTTATCAAATCTCGGTGGGGGTGAATCCACCGGTTGCATCATCGTCTCTCTCCCTGTATTAATAAATAAAATCGCTCCATTTCGTAATTATTTCGGTCTCACGAGAAATATTAGCCAGCGAGTCGTCCTATAGTACGTGGCGTAGAACCCACATCCTCAACCGACCAATCCACACTCCATCAAAAAAGCAAAACGACAACAACCCCACAACTGAAATGCTCTCAGAATCTAACCCCACCCCCACAGAGGAGTCGTTTCTCTTGCGCCCCCCCTCTTCTCTCTCATCGAATATTGTAGTATAGTATTCCTGATACTGTATCTCTCCTTCTTTTGTGTCTCTCTTTCCTTCTCTCTCATTATTATTATTAGTATTATATAGATAGAGAGATACATGTATTATTGAATCTCAAAAATGGTTTGCTTCTTCAAAACGGCATACCTTCTTCTCTGTCTGCTACTTTAGTTGCTTTTTCCAGTGAGAAGTAAGTAGCAGAGCAGAGCAGAGCAGTGAGTGTGAGTGCCTGCTTTTTTCTTTCACACCTCTTTTTATAGTTCCCGCTGAGTTTTTGTTGTTTGGGGGAGACCAAAATATGGAGAGAAAACAAGGATTTTTCTCGGCTTTGAAAGACGAAGTCGTCAGGGGCCTGTCTCCGGGGAGGTCTAGGGGGAGGAGTCCATCCAGGAGTGTTTCTCCCGGGTCGGGTCTTCTGCGCCGAAGGAGACCCGCCGCCGGTCACCACGTGGCGGGCCCGGACGTGTTCATTTCGAGATCCGGGAGCTTGAGGCCTGCGGAGGCGCTGTCGCCGTTGATGGAAGGGCCTGATCCTGACGAATCGGACGGTGGGGATTCCAGGATGGAGAGGTGGGGCCACTGGATGAAGGGACAGCTCTGTAGGGCTCCCTCTGTCTCGGCCTCTTCCTCTGCCTCTGCCTATCAACGGTCCGATCTGAGGTTGCTGCTCAGCGTTTTGGGTGCGCCTCTGGCTCCGGTGCACGTTAGCAACAGTGACCCTTTACCTCATCTTAGCATCAAAGACACCCCCATTGTTAGTCTCTTTCCTGCTTCATTCTCTTGATTATTCTCATTATTATTATTATTTTGGGCTTCTTTTAACTCTATGTAATGTTTACATTCCCACAATAAAGAAAAGTAGTTATCCAAAAGAAAATCAATTAAAGAAAACTTATCAAAAAGAAAAGAAATCAATTACTCCTATAGAAAATTGAATAGGTAAAGGGTAGTTTTTTTTCTTATGATAAATTATGCTAGTAGCCTTTAAAACTCTGGGCTTTTTTTCTATTGAGTCACCAAATTAAGTTTTCATCCCAATAAAGTGTCTAACTTCTCAAAATGTGACACTTGTGTACCAATTTAGAAATTCAGAGGCTTTAATTAAAAGGAAATTTAGTTTTGGGGATTAATTGAAAAAAGATGTAAAGTTGTTAAGCTGTATTTAAGTGGGGGATTTGGGAAGGTATTTGGAAATGACAAGGAAAAAAAATGTGTAAAACTATGTAAAATGTAGGCATATTTCATCTGCCTTTTCTTTTCCCTTCCCAAATCCCTAACCAATCACAGCGTTAGTGAATATCATGGGTTCTTAATTTGGCTTATTTTTATTTCTTGCACAGTTATAGTTGTATGAATTTTAAAAAGTCATGTACTGGATCGTGTAATTAATTATTCAGTAATTCCGGATCATCAACTGGTGCTTCTGGATCAACTAGAGTAGAGTAGTAAATGTGTATCTTAATGGTTGAGTAGGAGACAAAATCAGCCCCAATTTTCTCTTTTGTGTGACCTCATTTGTGGAGAGCACCATATGCTGTGACTTTGTGAGGATTAATTGAATGCATTTTAATGGACTTTGGAGAATCACTTCCTTCATAAATCAAAGAAGATATAAAGAAACAAGAAGTATGCAAAAAAAATATATTTTTTTGGTATGTAATGTGTTGATCGGCAAGTGCAATGTGCTGATCTATATGATTCGCTTCACATTTTAATTTGCTGAAATTTTTCTCAAGTGAGACCATGTTGCTGGATTTTGATGGCAGGAATCATCCTCTGCTCAATATATATTGCAGCAGTACACTGCTGCTTGCGGAGGACAAAAGCTTCAGAATGCTGTTGTCAATGCTTATGCAATGGGTAAGGTGAGGATGTTAGCTTCTGATATCGAGACAGCCACAAAGGTCATAAAGAGCAGGAATTCCTCCAAAGCTGCAGAGTCAGGTGGGTTTGTGCTGTGGCAGATGAATCCAGATATGTGGTATGTGGAGCTGGCTCTTGGTGGCAGCAAAATTCATGCTGGATGTAACGGCAAGCTTGTTTGGAGGCACACACCGTGGCTTGGTCCACATGCTGCAAAAGGGCCTGTTAGACCCTTACGTCGAGCACTGCAGGTAATGCCACCGTGTTTGTGATCCTACTCTCATCATCTCTGTATCTTTAGGCTTTGGTTGGATGCGGCTTTTTAAGCCAGCTTATTAGTTAAAATAATCAATTTTGTTTAAAAAGCCTTTGCTCATTTGGCAAACCAATTTCCTGCAAAATGTTCATTTTAACCGCTCTAAAGCCATTGGAAAAGCCAAAAAAAAACTAAGAATGTGCCAAACAAACTCAAACAAACTAGTTTTTTGAGCATTAGCTTTTTTGTAGGCTTGTTTTTGGTCAATAAGTGATCTCCAAAGGAAGCCTTAGTTTACTAGTTGGCAAATTTGTAAGTTCATGATCTGACCTCTGTTCTACTTGCAGGGTCTTGACCCAAGGACCACTGCAAGCATGTTTACTAATGCTAGATGCATCGGGGAAAAAAAGATCAATGGAGAGGATTGCTTCATCCTCAAGCTTTGTGCTGATCCACATACATTGAAAGCCAGGAGTGAAGGTCCGGCAGAGATCATAAGGCATGTTTTGTTTGGCTATTTCAGCCAGAAAACTGGGCTCCTTGTACACCTTGAAGACTCCCATTTGACTCGCATCCAAAGCAATGGCACGGATGCTGTGTACTGGGAGACCACAATCAATTCATTTCTTGATGATTATAGGCCCGTTGAAGGGATCATGATTGCTCACTCAGGACGATCAGTGGTAACCCTTTTCAGGTTTGGAGAGACTGCTATGAGCCACACCAAAACCAGGATGGAAGAGGCATGGACAATCGAGGAAGTGGCATTCAATGTTCCAGGCCTGTCAGTAGATTGTTTCATTCCACCCGCTGAACTAAGATTCAGCTCTATTAGTGAAGCCTGTGAGCTCCCTCAGGAAGAAAGGGTTAGGACCGCTGTGGCAGCTGCAGCAGCAGCTGCTTATCGAGCCAAAGTTGCAGCCCTGGAGGAATCGCGTGATAATAATATCAATAATATTGTTTTGAAGATGGATATTTAGGAAAGGGGCGGGGTTTAGCAGCAAATGTTTAGTAGAACACTAGCTTGTCAGTATAAAAGGAATGACAAATATGAGATTAATGGGTAAGTTAGAAACTCAGCTGATTGAGGAATTTTGAAGTTGGATGCCAGTTTCTTCAAATCTGTATATACAGGGTAAATCTTTATACCCTCAATCAAGAGTTTCATTATGCAGTCATGGCCTGAGTTTCTGTAGAATGTGGAGACAATGGAGGTTTGTCTTCTCCAATTTGCTTTCCATACATAAATGTGGTGAAAATGTGACGTCTGAGATTTACCTCTGTAAAACGTCTTATGTCAAGACTAAACTATGCTTGAGGATGATATTTCTGTTTTGTTTTTGTAAAATTCTCGTGCAAAGACATCCAATGATTAGCAGGTCCTTTAAACACAGGCATCACATTCGCAAGTCTACTTTATTCTACAGGATGGATATCTATTTTTTATCCAGTTTGCATATTGCAGAAAACAGTTTGTCCAAGGAAGGAAAATGTTAAATGAGTTGTTACTTGGATTTTCATCTTACCACTGCTAGTGTAAATACTTTCTTTACCCGTAAAAGACTTGGATTTTCATCTTACCGCTGCTAGTGTAATTACTTTCTTTACCCGTGAAAGAGTTACCAAGTCGAGAATCAAATTGTTGACTTTAGAACACAGTTTCTGATTACAACGACAAATTTTCCTGAGAAAGATATTAGCAAATCATGGTATTCCATCATTACACATGAGTATGCTTTCTATCTTGTCTTCCATATAAAATGAGTGATGCTGCATCTTGCTGTGCAAGCTAAGGTCCATTTCTTATTTTAATATACATTCTGATTGCTTTCCTTATTGTTGAAGGCTTTAAGCTTGATTTTTTGTTTTTGGGAACTAATTTAAGCTTGATCTTGAGTCGCACACTTCACTTGAAAGTTGAAGCCCTGTGTGTTTCCTTTTACTGTTGCTATTTACCTAACCCATTTAATTGAAGAACCTGATGCCTTCTGAATGTCTGTTTGGATTGGTTCCATTGCACTAGACAGTAAGTTTCACAAATCTCCCTAATCATCTTGTGAATTGCTAAACTTGACACTATTTACCCATACAACCACAACAATGCCTGCCAAACACATTTCTTACTGCCACAACTCATCAATCGGAAGCTGAAACAACCCTTTTACTTGGAAGATATCTCGTGTGTCTTTGTTTATTATTACCACCGATCTCTATAAATATTAATTATTAAGTGAAAAAAGTTACTTGAAATGTATTCGGCAAGGTAAAGACTAAATAGAGCCACACAAGCACGCAAAAAAAAGAAAAAAAGAAAAAGAAAAAAAAAGGGTTAATAGAATAATTGAATTTGCAATTAGTTATATTAGGTAAATGAAACCTTATCCAAATTCAACTTCAGTGCAAGAATTTTGTTGGGCTGCTTCTTGTACTAGTTGAATTGATGATGAGCATCAGCCATTGTCAGATTACTACGAATATCAATTATTTGATAATTAGGGATGCCTTCCCTCAAGGAAGAATCTTATTCTGATGACTTGGAGGGCTGCAAAGAGCTTGAGCTGATGGTTGTAACTTCTGTACTGTGCTGGTTTTGAGGTCGATGACCAATATCTCACATCAGGACCTTCAGGGTTTAAAGAATTTGCAGTTGACGACCACCATTACTATTATGTTTCGGACCAACTGGTCTCTATGATGGATTTATGTGCATTTCTGGTTGAAATGTTTTAATAGTTCAATTAAGTATGTTTTGTTACAAAAGGTTTAAAGTTGACTGTTAAATTGTATTTTTTCTTTTTAAAGAACTGAAAACCTCTGTTTTAAACTGTGAGGCTTTGGTCTCATGTTTTGATCTTTTGGTTCAAGGTCAAAAGGATTTTGTTCTCTGTTCTTTTCATCTTTTTGAAGTTTATAAATTGTTGTGGACTCAGTGTTCAGATGAAATTGCAGTGCAAGTTTACTAGTCCTAGCAATATTTACAAGCCTATAAATTTGATAGAGGCAGGTAAAAAGCCATCCAAATTTCAGCTGTTCTGTTGCAATAAAATATTTTTGTTTTAAGTCCCCACAACAAAATTTTGTAGGATTTTCTCTCTCACATGATACATTTGAACGTGCATCACTGACTTTTTAGGAAATGGACCTAGCAGATGATAGATGTATTTTTACCAATTGATGGTTACATTTTGGTGCTTTTAAGTTTTTCGAATGCATCTTGGCCCACACAGACATTACTACGTCACAGCAGGCTAAAATATCTGCATGATCTCCCACATAATGTGTTGGTTGATTAGAATCGAATAGAGTGAAGCAAGTTTTACATGCCTCCATGTCGACTTGCTGTATGGAATTTACAGCAAATACTATTCATTTCCCTTTTGCTGAATGCAATCTACGAATTCAACTCTGCGGTGGTGCTAAGTAGCTATTCATTCCATCATGGAAGCGGCACTCCAAACATATTGCAACTGGAAAGACAGTTTCCTATGTGTGTGTGTGTGACGAAAACTACTTTGTTGATCAAAATTTTGGGATTTCTTTTGTAGGCATTTGGATGCGATTATGAGACTGCCTGTCACCGTATTTCATACACCAGGTTGGTGAAATTGTCATATAACTGAGGAAAGATGTGCAAACAACCAATCTAAATTTAAGGAATTACATTCTTGGCAGTTTCTATAAATCTCTCTGATGTGTTGTAAAATAACAGATTCCGTAGTGTGAATGCATGATGTTTTAATGTCTAATGCAGGCTTGCTTCTCTATCTGTTGTCCTTTACTTTCAAAGTTTTGGGGGATCGTGTCAGGTATGCCTAAAATCCCTCTCTCCACCTACTTGTCAACTCTTTCTCATGTGCTTAGAAATAAGTGTAGTTATTCAACATAGGTATGCAAACAAGTTGAGCCGAGACGAACTTGGTTGAGCTCGAGCTCGGCTCGTTTGCTTGTCGAGCTCATTTATTGAGCTCAAGCTCAGCTTGATAAGTAATTGGACTCGAGGTCGGCTCGGCTCGGTTCATCTCGTTAATATTAATGAAACTCAAGCTCGGCTGAGCTCGGGTTGATAAGATTTTTTTAAATATTATTTATATTATTTAATATATAAATAATATATTATATAATTTAAATAAAGGTAAACGAGCTCTCTTAACGAGCTGAGCTGAGCTTGTTCATGAACAATTCGGTTTATTTGCAGCCCTTATTCAACATGTGGATGTACAAGAAGCAATAACGCATCGTGACAAAACCAAATATCCATGCCGGAACTTCACCTCCCTAAATTCATCATATTATAGATACTCCGTGAAAGGTACAGTGGAGCTAATTTGGGAAACATTATTTTGGATAATTCACCGCTACTTAATGAACATTAATATCTTTGAATCTACTTTTCACGCTTTCCATCTTCATAGAGTAGCTGCATATCCTTGAAACCTCCCCAATCTGTACTTAAAACACTGTTTTTAATCTATTCTTTCCTCTCTGTTCTCTGTTTTGAAAGTTTTTTTTATTTTAAAGAAAGGGCCATGCTTGGAAAGTTGTGAGTAGATATTTGTTTAAAGATAAAATGTTTTCAATCTTTTTTGTGGTTCATCCGGCATACTAACATTCTTAATCTCCCAAAGGTGTTCGACATAATTGCAGGCTAAAGGTTTAAGGTTTAGATTGTAAACTGATGTTCTGACTAGCTTCCTTGTCAGTACACTTCAATTGGTAACCGCCAGTGGAGAATTTTCCGCATTATGTAATTTTGAAACTTTCCATATGAAAAGCTTGAGATTTATGTTGTTGAGCTGTTTGTTTTAAATTGAGAGCACACTCCTTAGCCATATGCAATCAAATCATTGAATATACCTTCTAATGCTGCAACGGTCCGAAAAAAATTATCCGAAAATGTGATGTGAAGATATATAAATCCAGCTAATGAGCATTGTCTGCATGGGTAATAATGTATTGAAGACTATGTATTAGTAGGCTTTAGTTTAGGGAAGCCTGACTAGCATTAGAGCCGTTGACAAAATGACTCAAAAGGCAAGTTTGAGATTCTAGACAACATCATAACAAAAGTATACATAGGGTATCAGTGGAGAATTTACTTTTTCTGCCTTAATCATACTCATAATTGAAGGAGATTTTGGGAGAAACAGAAAAGCTTGTGCACCAAAAACGGTAGAAAGGAAAGAACACAGTCCTCATCGAAGTAAGAGACAGAAATTTAGTCCAGAAAAGTAGGGAATTTAACATGAGGTGTGATGTGAGTATAACTAATAAAAAAAATTAATTAAGAAATTTATGTGTTGAATGTCGAGTTCTTTGCAGACTTGTCTCACATTGCCTCTCTAAGCCACTCAAGATTGGTTCATATACTTTCAGGACAGATTTTGGATGGCTTCACAAGCCAAGTCTCCGTCTCGGGTTTGTTTCTCTTGTCTCTTCATTTTCACCTAGAGATTGTAACTCCTTATTAAGGCAAGTGCAAATGAGTGGTTACCATGACTGTCCTTGTCACTCCACCATGGACTTTCATAAGAAAATGGAGAAACTATCCATCACAAGTACTAGAACCACCAACACCAACACCAACACCAACACCAACACCAACACCGGTTTCAATATCACTAACATGTGGAAGGAGCAGACTTGCACCAACCTGTGTTGTTTCTTCTGCCTCGTGAAAGAACCAAAATCATCAATCAGGAGGGTAGGAATTGCAAGCTTCTTCAAAGAATTGCCTCTCATTGACGACCAAGAACATGTTATGGTGCTGAAAAAGCTATGGAACATGGCCATGACTCAACCAGATGACCCAGAGTTTCCATCTCTTGGCATCTTTGAGTGCATGGCGAAGTTAATCCACAGAGGTCTAGCCAATCAAGATTGGCTTCTTAGGGACCAAAACATAAACATCCCCTATTATGCAGCTCATGTTATTGGTTCTTACACCATGAGCAGGGTTGATTTTGCAGAAAAAGCGGTGGACTCGGGTGTGATTCCACAATTGATGGAGCTTTTCAGAGGAAGAATGAGTTGGGTTGAGCAAAGGGTCGCTGTTCGAGCCCTCGGACACCTGGCAAGCTATGAAAGTACCTTTGAAGCTGTAGCTGAATATGAAACAGAGGTAATTAACTTAGCTATGCATTTAGCTTCTACCTGCCTTGAAGAGGTGTACACAATGTTTGTAGGGGTAAAAGACAGGAACAAGAGAGTGAAATATCACAGAGACTTGCTCACCAGAGGGGTTGGAGGACTGGAGATGGAGAACCGGAAGGCCGAGGAATGGGCCAGCCAACTTCAGTACTGGTCCCTCTATGTTCTCAACAGCTTTGCCATCAAAGGGAGGTCCATAACTCTCATGTGCAAGCAAGACTTCTTGAAGCAATTGTGTGAAATGTGGGGTGGATTAGTGAATCAAACCTCACCTGCTGGAATTGGCCTCATTAGAATCTTATGTTACAGTGAAATTGGAAGAAGAAGCATTGCAGAGTCGCAGGAAGTTATAGAGAAACTCTGTAATCTTTCAAGATCTTCAGATGATTGGCAGTACATGGGCATTGATTGCCTTCTCTTGCTTCTCACCGACCCAGATACGAGGTACAAAGTTATTGAAATCGCCACCCTGTGTCTTGTTGATTTGATTGAACTCACAACACTTGGAGAAAGATCAAACGTTGGCGAAGCCATCACAAGAACATTGCTTATAGATTTCAGTGGAAGTCAGTCGAGAACCAAGAAAAGTAGAGCCCAGAGAACGCTTGAGGAAATATGGGATTTGAAGGTGGAGAGAAGCAAGCAAGAGAAAATGCTGTCTGATGAGAAAGTTGAAGAGAAAAGGGTATTGGTGAGATTGATAAAACAAGAAGGAAACCATAGCTTTTGGGTAGGAGAGATTGAAGAAGCTCTATTGAAGTACACACAAGCTTTATTGTTGTGTCCACTGAGGTTAAGAAAAGAGAGAGTTGTTTTGTATAGTAATAGAGCTCAGTGTCATTTGCTGCTTAGTGACCCTGATTCTGCCGTTAGTGACGCAACCAGAGCTCTTTGCCTGTCCAGTCCTGTGAACTCTCATGGCAAGAGCCTGTGGAGAAGATCACAGGCTTATGACATGAAAGGGTTGGCAATAGAGAGCTTGATTGACTGTATAGTGTTCATCAATGGCTGCAACAGATCAGAGATGACAAGCAATGTGAGAAATGTTCCATACTATGCGGCACGTATGATTAGCAAGCAGATGGATAGGGCATGGCTATTTGCCACTGCCATGTCAAAGACAGCAAACAATCTTGTGAATGAATCAAGACAATCAGACGGTAATGATGATGATGACACTCCGAACAGAGAGCATCCAAATGGTGAAATGATGAGAATGATGACCGAGAGAAAAGGGTTTAATTCAGGTATGTTAACCTTATGATTGGTTATTTGAATGTTATACAATTATGTTCAATAAATTTGAAATTCAAGTGGGGTTTTCACATTGTACTCCAAAATGGTGTGCCTAATAGGCTACGTTTGTTTAGCGGGATGGGATTAGTTAGATAAGAGGATAAATAATATCACGAGTTCTTAATTTTTTCTACTATATGCCTTGTTCGTTTGGCCCATAACCGAGAAAAATTATTCAAAATTTTACCCACATGGTCTATAACACATGATTTTAAATCTACACCCTTTACTTTAATTTCGTAGTAGTAAAATTCTGATTAATTTCTCATGATCCCTAGAATTATTGAAAAGACATAGAGGTCCACATGTCTTCTGGTTAGTTTTTCTTTATCCTAGTATTAGGTGCATGGAATTATTAATACCTTATAAATACCATCTCTCCCATAGTATTATTTATACCAGGCCATGAGATTACTTATCTTCATCCCCTTCATCCAACAATCATAAATAATCTTTCTTCTTTATCCCATTTAACCAAGCATAATGCAACTAATCCTAGGTATACATAATTTCATTCATTATCTCGTTGTATTACTTATCTCTTGCTAATCCCAACTGAACAATCATAAGATTGTTATGTTTAACTAAAGTAGGATAAAATATGAAATAACATATGGTGAATTATTTTTACTGTTGAATTGGATGAAGCAAGGAAGATAACCCAGAGGAATAATTGAGGGGGACAAAACTGTTACTCATAGGTCCTACATGTTTTTAATCTCATCCCACCATAAGCAGGCCAAACAAACATGATCTAATGGTCTTTTTGAATTTATATGTTGATCACTTTTTTCCTGCTTACTTTTTTTCAGGTTTGCCCACCATTGGAGAAGAACCATTGATCAGAAAGGGTGAGAGCAGTAGGAGAAAGCTGGAAAGAAGCAGGGGGAAGAAAAAATGTTGTCATGGCTATCACACAACACCCTAAAGTCAAAAAGAGTGAGAAAAGGTAGCATTTTGGCTTCCATACAGTAATTGCACCATCACATGCTAGCACTGTGGCCCTTATGCTAAGCGGTCACAGTAAAAGATTACACTCACATGTGTATAATTGGTAGAAAAATTAATAATTTAGTAAGGAGTCTGTAACGAAATTGTTGTTTGAATGTTTAAAAAAACTCTGTTGTTTGAGGTGGGATTTGTCAAATATTTTTTAATATTTGTTTACTTTTTTAAGAAAAAGTGATAATAAAAAAAGTAACAAAGTTTTGTTATAAAAAAAATTTAATTTTTTTTAATTTAATTTTTTTTTTTGCATTTAATAATTTAATTTAATTTAATTTTTTTTTTTGCATTTAAGTGAATAATTCAAAGTAATGGAAGTGAAAAGTCTAATTATCATAAGTTTCTCTTGCATATTCCTATTAAATTCACTTTTTCCACAAAATATGGTATCAAACCGCCCCACGAGAATGGACTATAAAGCATATCATTCATGATGTGAGCAATGAAAATTAATTTGTAAACATCATCATCAATGACTTCAGCATCCAAATATATATAAAGATGAACCACGAATAATAAAAGAAAAAGTATATTTATATAAAAAATTCATATAAAATTTTATTTTTCCAAATAAATTCAAAATTCATGGTTTCTTGTTTTAAAGTGAAAAAGTTCATATTTAGATATATCATTTTGTATGAAGATTCTGTATTAATTTTTTTTATTTATATATCATTATTTTTACTAATATTGTAGCTACTGCTTAATGTTGATTTTATCAGCTATTTTTTTTTTCTTTTTATCTTGAAGGAAAATTATATATATATATGTGTGAACAAAATGATACATTTATTGTGTTTTGATTCTAAAGTTATATACTGAAAAAAAAGAAAAAAGAAAAAAGAAAAGAAAGAGAAAGAGAAAGAGAAAGAAAAAGAGAATTATATATAAATACTATTCTTAGGAAAGTAAACAAAAAAAATATTTTTTTACATAAATGTACGTAAATGTTTTTCACTTTCCTAAACAGATGGTGTGAAACACAAAAAAAAAAAAAAAAAAAAAAAAAAAAGAAAAAAACACTTTTTTTTTCTTTTCTTATATTTTTTATTGGCCAAGAGATATAATAGAAAGTGTGAAATTGGTCCCAAAAAATAAAAAATAAAAAAATCTCCAACAGATTAGCCGCAAACCAGTCTATTGGTCACTTTGACGTGAATGCTCATAGATCTGTGCAAACGTGCCGCATGATACAAGTCTTACGGGTGGACGTTGTACCGGCCAGCACGCCTAGACAGTATTTAAACAGTATTCAGCTTGTTTGTTTTTATTTTTTAGGAAATATTTTTCAAAAAATTTTACTTTCTTATTTTTTGTATTTTTTATTTTTACTGAATTTTTTTAATATTTTAAGTAATTTTTTTATTTTTTAGATACACCTAACATAAATACACTTAAAAAGTAAAAAAATTATAAAAAAAATCTTTTAAAAATTCAATAAATACCAAAAATATAAAAAAATATAAAAATTCAGTACATTTTTTTTGTATTTTTATGTATTTATTAATTTTTTAAAATATTTTTACTTTTTAGATACATCTAACTAAGGTACATCTAAAAAAGTAAAAAAAATGTTTAAAATTTAAAAAATATTCACTAAAAACAAAAGAATATGAAAGCCAAAAAATTCAATTTTCAAAAAACTTAACCCAGAAAACTCAAACCAAACAAACTGATTATTTTTGTAGACCTCGTTTGGGGGTGTGGGTTACTTTTTGATTTTTTAGTTATTTTAATTTGGGATTAAAAAGTCTCGTTTGAGATAAGTCTTTTGACCTTTTTGACAATTTTGAGAAAAAAAATAAAATGATTATAAGTTAGATGTGATATTTTATCTTATTTAGCTAAACGGCTGTGATTGAGGCCTCGAAAATGAGGCTCGAAATTGCCTCGAATGCAATTTTTTTTTTTCTTGGGCTAATACATTGCAAAAAAAAATAAATAAAAATAATAATAATAATAACAAGCAAAGCATCAACCCAGAAAAAAAAAAAAAATCAAATTTGAGCCAAATTTGAGCCAAAAAATTTGAGGCCTCAATCATTAATCTTAACTAAAATAACCTATTTTGTCTTATATGATTATTTTAGCCCAAATATTCTTTCCAAATAAGTTCTTAGGTTGATTTGAGATGTGAGTTGACTTTTTAATTTTTTAACTTTTTAGTTATTTTAGTTTGAGATTAAAAAGTTTTGTTTGGAATGGAATTTTTAAAATTTTTTTTGACTTTTATGAGAGAAAAAAATAAAATAATTATAATTTTAATATGATATTTTGTCTTATTAAATTAAAAAAAATTATTTAGTCTTTTTATAACTATTTTAACTCTAATCCAACCCAATTTAACTTTTCAAACGAGTGGTTAGAGTTGGAAGATTGTTTTAGTTTATATGATTAGATTGAGTTAATATTTTTAATCCAAAATATTAATGGATTGAATTTGAAATTTTTATTTTTAACTTAGCCTGATTTGGCCCGGTCCGTTAATTAATTAATTATTTATTTATAATACATTAAAATATATATTTTTTGGGGATTCAAATTTTATCTTTATTAATTTTATTAAAACTCATAGTTGTGGTGATATGTGATTGAATTTATTTAAGAAATCTTTCAAATTATACACAAAATCTTTTAGTTTATAATGATGCCAATATATTTATTTAAGAAATATAATGTGTGATTGAATTTAATTATGAAATATTTTAATTATTTTTAACATATAATCTGATGAGCGAGTGAGTTTTAGATTTATAATTATTTTTTGAATCAAATTTGAGAAAATATAAAGGCCTAATGTTAGAACCGGGCCGGGCTTAGAGTTTATAAATTTTCTTATTAACTTCGGTGTCGTTTAGTAACGCTTACGTTTTCAGTTTTCTATTTATATTTACAAAAATTTAAAAAATTCAAATAAAAATTTATTTGGTAAAATTTTTGATTTATAAATTAGTACTCTCAGTTTATAAATTTGGTCAAAAAATGAAAACACAAAAAATGTGTTTCCGTTTTGAGTTTTGAATTTTTTTTTTTTACCACCCAACACTAGCCACCACACGCCACCATTTTCCACCACCGTCTTCCGCCACCACCACCCACCACCCACCACCCACCCCCCATCACCTGCCACCACCATTCACCACCCATCACCACCCACCTGCCACCACTACCCGCCACTATCACCCACCAGCCACCACCCACCTGCCATCCACTCGCCACAACCACCCACCCCTCGTCGCCACTACCACCACCACTACCACTACCCTATCACCTACCACCTACCTGCCAACCACCATCAACCACCCATTCGCTCCACCTATCACCCCCACCGTCACTCACCCACCCACCACCACCACCACCACCGTCCTCACCCACAGCCACCACCACCACCACAGCCACCCTAACCGCGACCCGACCTGCCACCACCACCCGCTACCACTACCACCACCACCCACTCGCTACCACCACCCTGCCACCGCCACCCACCCCATTCACCGTCACACCACACCTGCACCACCGCCCCCACCATGTCCATGCCCACCACCCACCACCATCGCCCTGCCCACCACCACCCACCACCTGCCACCTCCACCTGCCACCGCCACCGCCGGTCACCACCACCACCACCACCCACTCGCAACCATCCACCTACCTGCCACCCACCACCACCACCGACCACCACCACCCACCCACCGACCACTATCAGCCCACCACCTATCCCCACCCACCCTGCCACCACACCCACCCACTCATACCATCCACCACCCGCACCGGTCACCCACCTGCCATCGTCACCACCCACTTTGCCACCACTCACCACCACCCGCCTCCGCCACCCACCTGCCACCACCGCCGCCACCACCATCACCACCGCACTGCTACCACCCAACCACCGCCACTGTCACCCACCCACCCACCACCACCACCCACCCCACCACCCACCGTCACCACTTTCCACCACTGTCTTCTGCCGCCACTTGCCATTTCTCACTCATTTTTATATTTTTAATTTTTTTTTATACATTTTGTCAATTACCAAACGTGTTTGTAGTTTATGTTTTTCTAAAAATAAACAAAAACCAATTTATAAATTTTTTATAAATATAAACTAAAAATATAAATGTTACCAAACACACCCTTCACGTTTGTCCACCCCTAATATAAGTAAACATTTTTCTGTGACTTCGTTCAAATTGTTTGACAAATGTAAAAATAGTTTTCCAATTATCAAGTACATACGAAAAAATAAATAAATAAATAAACAAAAATAAAGGAGGTTGTAATTTTGCGTGACTTATATACCTCTTGAGAATAATTGTTTTGAAAATAAATTTGATGATGCAGCGTGTTCCAGTTGGAACGGGTCAGACTGATCCACGCTTTTCAAATCGGTATCCGAATGACCAAGCCCACGGAGGAACCTTTTTCTTGTCTTCAACATCTGCTTATATCCTCTGATAATCATTTCGTTGTTCCTTCCGACTTGGTGTCTTGGCCGAAAGTTTATGCTCTAACTTGCCTTGTTTATGGTGAGGCCGTTCTGTCTCGACGGAGAGGGGTTATTGCAATAAATGTTATAAGGGCTTCATGAATGGCTGATGTGCAGTGCAATAACTTTGCAGGATCTTTGTCTGCTTATGTGGCTTGTCCTTCACTTGCCACGTGTCTAGGTTTCATTGGTTCTTGACGTCATGTTGAGCTCCAGCAACGCTGAGCTTTAGTGTTTGAATTATGCATTGGGCCCTAAGTGGTGGGCTATGCCCTTTATGGGCTTACCCATGTCAAAATTAAAAATACTAATTCCCAAGACAATATAATATTATGTTATATTTGTTGATTTTGGTTTTATAAACAAAAATGATATTACAAGTATTGAAAAAAGATTAAAAATCCACACTGTTATGTTTCAAGTCCTTGCTCTCACATGAATAGGTATTAAAATAGAAGGCTCGTACTATTTATTTATTTATTTTTGGGATGGGGGGAACACCTCTTAGAGAACTAGTTTTTTTTTTAAAAAATTTAACTTAAAATGCTTCTTACATAAAATGATATATAGTGGTGACATTATTGAAATTAGAGGCCAATTTGATAGAACTTTTGCTTTAGAATATGAACATCTAAATTGGTCATATAATTTTGGAATTTTTT